TATCAAAAAAATCAAATTTAAATTTTAAAGGGTAAAACCAAGTGAATCGAGAATAATCATCAATAAAAATAGCATAATAAAGAAAACCCGAATTTGATTTGACGGGAGAAGGACCCCAAAGATCACAATGAATAAGATCTAACACATGAGACGACCTACGTTCATTGCGGGAATAAGACAATCGATGACTTTTCGCAAGCTGACAAGTATTACATAATGATGGAGAAGACAATAAAGACGTAAGAGAAAAATGACCTTTTTTTAAAAAAAAAAAGAAATAACAGAATGATTCACATGACCCAGACGAGCATGCCATAAATCATATGAAGCACGTAAAGAATTGTTTTTAAGGGCTGAAATAATAGCAGAGTTGCCGCGCTTCAGCACATATAGCCATCCATCTCTTTTACCGGTTGCCACCACCCTTCCTGTTTGATGATTCTGGATAGTAATAAGATTATTAGTAAATGTAACGGAGAGAGGAAAATCAGACGTTAATTTACTTATGGAAAGAAGATTTTTAGTGAGGTGAGGGACAACCAAGACATCTAATAAGTGAATATTTGGAACAGGAGAAAGAGTACCGGTGTGGGTAATGGGTAGGGATGCACCGTTTCCTACGATCACAGAGTTCTTACCCATGTAATTTTTAGACTGATCCAGAATTGATGAGTCGGCAGTCATATGGGCCGAAGCTCCAGTGTCCAGAAACCAATCAGCAGCATCGGGTTCAACAATAGAACATGACGTGTTAAAGGCTTCAGCAAGGTGAGCATGAGAAGAATCAGGTCGAACATATCGTTGGTTGCAGCGGTCAGCATAATGGCCCTCTTTGCGACATATTTGGCAATGAGGTGGTCGACGACCCTGACTTGAGTGGGTTCGTCCTCGATTAGAAGAGTTGTTTTTGTGAAAATAAGAACGACCTCGCTGGTTGGTAAAGGAAGCAGGGTGACTTTCATGGGTGCGACCACGATTAGTGGCTATGAATGCTGTAGAAGTGGAGTCAGAGGACTCAAGGGAGCGCTGGTACAACTCAAAACTTTCAGTTTTAGAGACTAGATATGCAAAACAGGGGATAGGGGTGAGAGCCATCTGAGTAGTAGAAAAAACTGAAAATTCGGTGCCGAGTCCACGAAGGAACCAGTGCACTTTATCAATGTCCTCGACGGGTCTGCCAATGGCATGAAGTTGGTCACAAATTTTTTTGAAGGCACAGGCATACTCAGCAACAGTTCACGAGCTTTTGACTGATGGCTGAACGTAGTTTCCAACGTAAGCCAAACATCACGTGCAGTAGAGAGACCAACGACAACAGCCATGGCTTCCTCAGTGAGAGAGGAGAGCAGGAGACAGAGAAGTCGTTGATCGGCTGCTCTCCATGCCAAATATTTGGGGTTGAATGTTGAGGAGGTTTCTGGTTCAAAGCGAGGTGGTGGAACCATAGTTCCATCGACATAGCCCAGCATGTCTTGACTCTCAAGGAGAGGGAGAAGTTGGCTTTTCTAAAGAAGATAATTGGAGGAAGAAAGTTTGATGGTGATCATATGGATTAGAGTATTGAAAGGAAGAAGATGATAACAAGATTCGGAAGCCACAGAGAAGAAAGGATCAGGGTTGTTAAACCGAAAGGGCTCTGATACCATGTGAATGTTTGATTAATCCACCACAACCAAATGGTGGTGAGAGTTCTCTTATTTATAATCATTTACAGAATACAGAAATAAGGTAAATTACAAATAATAAAGAAATAGCGATAAAAGGATAAAATAATAAATGAATACAATATATTTGCATTTAATAAAATGGCAAATATGGTAACCCGTAATGTAAGACAAATATCTAGATATTTGCCTTATAATGAACGGTCAACTATCCTTAACATAAGTACATATCGATTATTGTTGAGTATACTGTTGTAGACTATATATAGGTATTGAATATTCCTCGTAGATTGAATTCTCTTTTAAATATTCTCGTACTGATAGACTAAAAAATACCTAAATATGTACTATATAAGGGTTGACTAGTATGTTTGAGCTGGGTAAAGGATACCCCTGTGTCGCCCGACACGCCCACACCCAAGACATAATGCGCCGCACGTGGACATATGCTTGGAGCGTTGGTGCGGCGGTTGGAGCAGAGGGTGATTGACGGCTGACACATTGGGATGGAGTTGGGTGCGTTTGGAGATCAAAATAAAATCTAACTAAAATAAATTTTCATTAAATAAATTAATAAAAAAAATATTTGAATCACTAAATTTATTATTTGACATAATTTATCAGTAACAATGCCGCCGCCAGTTGCGGCGCTGGCGGCAGCGGGTGCTAGTAAGTGTAAAACGGCATCGTATCATGTACGATGAAGACCACCTAATACGCGTTGGCATTTGAAGACTTGACACGTGTACTTTTTAATTTCCATCCCCTTCAACTAAAGTTTTAATTTCCAAATTTGTTTTTGGATTTTTATTTAATGATTTTGGATATTGGTTACAATATTTTATTTACTAAATTAATTTAATATTTTAATTTTTTTAATAATACCCTTAATTAAAAATTACTTCATAACTATCTATCTATCTATATATTTTAGGGGTCGGACACATCGTCCTCTTCGGTCACATCATAACACTCGTCTAAAGTCTCGTGTAGCTGGATGGACGCCACTTCTTTCGTTGCAACGTGAGGGTCACAACCTACTTTCTTCATAGTTAGGTTGTGACATTCTCCCCGACTTAAACTAGTCATCGTCCTCAATGACTTACGTTTGGGGCACATTGTTAAGTTGTGACATTCATGCTTGTCCAATGCATGTTGTCCATGGGTGCAAGCTCGTGACACGCTGAAATCCTTGCCTTATATTACTTTACTGCTTTCATGTTGTATTATTTATTTCTTGTTTTTTTTTTAAGAATATGGCATTTCGACAAAATTATAACTACACCTGATAGACATGAAATGACTCAAAATGTATTATAGGGATGCGTATATATATATATATATATATATATATATATATATAGTAAAAAATGTATTAGAATTTTTAAATTTATTCAATTTAAAAAGAAAAAAAAAGAATTATAGAGAATAAAAATGTTATAATAAAATAATAATGGAAATTATTAATCATATGGTTCAAATAATTTATATTAAAAAAAGTGGTGAAAATAATGTCACATTCTCTCTCTCATGGATAAACTTAATGATTGAAATGAAAATAAATTAAAGAACAAGAGAATTTAAATATAATGATTTCAAAGAATTTTTATTTATTATTATTATTATTGTGGATAATTTTTTAAGGTTAAATAAGACAAATAAAAAATGTTTTAATATATATATATATATATATAATAGTAGAGAAAGGAGCAAGGGAAATAATCCCCACGCGGGATGCCAGCTGTATGGCTATAGATTCCGTGGTTGCCTACATCCCCACCCCACCCCACCTGGGTCCCACAGGAGACCTGGGCCCCACTCTCCAGTTTTTTACTGCCATGTTCTTATTTTTTAATTTTAAAAATCTATTCAAATAATTAATTTTCTATTTTTTTTAAATCTGGTCGTTTATTTTTTAAAATATTTTTGAAAATTCTATTTATATTAATAATTAAAATTTCCATATAATACTATTAGATTATAAACGTTAAATATTTTTAATTTTCATAATAATCTTAAAAGTAGGGTAAAGTAGAGTTTGATTGTAACCCTATTTTCGAGACTAGATCAAAAAAATATCAACCTGGACTCAGTCTTTATGATTTGGGTCGGGTAATCCAAGTTGGGATTTCTCTCTGCCGTGAAATATTTTTGTAGCTTTATTTAATAAATAATTAAAAAAAATGAAACTTTTGAATTTCGGGATGAATTTACTTTTTGTTGAAGGGTTGTTTTGCAAATCTTAATTCTTACTAAAGCCATTTTGAACAAAAACTATAAGGTAAGAAAGGAATTTCGTGATTTTAAATCTAAAAAGGGACTAAAACGTAATATTTGAAAGTAGGAGACTTAAAAATAAAATTTAAAGTTTCAAAATTAATATTCATTTAATGTTATGTTTTAAAATTTTAATTACCCCGTTAAAAAAAAACAGGTAATTATTATTATTATTATTATGTTATGCTTTTTATATTTAAGTTACTATTTAAAAATTAATGAAATTAATTAACCATTATTAAATTACAAATTCATTCCCAAAAATATCACATTAAATAGACGTGACACGTGTGAAATTCCTTCGTCTATTAATTAATCGAGAATTCAATGAATATTAAATGCAGAAAAAAAAATATAAAAAACTACTTTTTTTTAATTAAAAAAAGGGAAATTTAATATTTAATATTTAATTTAGAAGGAGCCAGCTAAATTCCACCATTTTTCTTTTATTTTCCTATTTTATTATACGCGTTAAATTAAATATTTTAGTTCAATTTTCCCCACGAAATTATTGATTATTTTATTTGAACATTTCTTTAAAAAAAAAATAATAATAATAATTTTTACATAGACTCTTTAATAATATTCTTGAAATTATATATATTTATTTAATTCTTTATCATTTTTTACTATATAATAAAAATATTATTATCTTTTTTTCATTTTATAATATAGACATTTTTTAGGCTCATTTTTTTTTAATCAAATTCCCATATGTATTTCTAAAAATTTATTAAAAAATATATATTTTTTACACATTTTAAATAAATTAATATGAACTTAAAAACATGTAAAAATATTGTTATTTAAACGAAAATTTAATATGAAGTTATTGAAATAATTGATCATAAATATAATTTAGGAGTTAAAACATTAAATAAAAACGTGTATTATATTTAATTCAAAGGTTTAAAACGTAAATAAAAAGAAAAAAAAAAAGAAAAAAGGGGTAAACCCTAAAAAGAAAGGAAAATAATTTATTATTATTATTATTATTATTTTAAGAAATGATGAAAATGATATTTGAAAAAAAAATTAAAAGGATAATTGGAGTAGAAGAAGCCGTGAGAAATTAGAAAGGACAGAGAGGGAGAGAGAGGACAGTATATGTGGTTCGCTGTAGATTTCATCGGTTTTTTAAGTTCATACGATTCCTGAGAATGGAAGCACAGGAAAATTGGTGCTCTCTGTACCCTTTAATGGCGGATTGAGGAGAGAGAGAGAGAGATTTTGAAGTAATGGAGAGATGTTGAAAATGGGGAGTTTTGTGTTCAATCGTCATTGTTTGTAGCAGCGTTCTACAAGTATTGTCGGCTCTTTCTGTTCATGCTGCAGTGATCGTCGCTTCCTCTCCGATCTTGATGGCGAAAACGGGGGTGTTTGATTCTGATCCTACAGTCATGGGGAAAGCCACGGAGTTGAAGAGGGAGTTACAGAGACTTATCGATGCTATAATTGATGATGATAATTGCTCTACCGACACCATCGATCATGCTAAAGAGATTATTTCTGCGCTCAAGGAGTTGAAACTTAGGAAGAGATCACGCTCTTCTAATCGTTACGAGAATCTCATTTGCCCTGATGAATTTCGTTGTCCGCTTTCTAGGGAGCTCATGAGAGATCCTGTCGTTGTGTCTACTGGCGAGGTTTGTTCTGATGATTTCCGTTCCGTGATTTCCTTTCTAGGTCTCAAAGAAATTATGGTTCTAATCCGCGATTTTTCGTTGTTTTGTTCTTCCGAACACTACGATTCTTTACCGGTTTTGTTGCTTCGCGTTTCATTTCTGAGGGTTTTCTTTACCCATTCGCGTTAAATCGTAGTGTTTGTGGATCAAAACCCAAAGCGCATAGATTAAAGAAACTTTGAGGACACGAGTGGTCAATTTTCCTTCGTCTCTGGTTTCATTAAATTTAGTCCTCTAATTCTGCTGTTTGTTTGTGTGTTCTTCATCAAATTACAGCGTTCTCTATTTGAATTCGATATTGATAGCCTACAGGATTTCGAGGTTTCTGTAGATCAGAATTTTCAATTTAACTTCTGAGTTTATTTCTGTTTTTTTCACTGACATTGCATCTTTTGTATGTAATTTTAAATGGCCGACGATTTAAACCCTTTGCATATTTCAGTAACTATGTTCATGATTTGTATTGTATTCACGATGTTGACTGTAAATTAATATGAATGATCTTCCTGGAAATCTGTAGAATAGTTGAGGAGAAGTAATTTGTAGATGTTTTGTTATATGCGTATGATTTTGGTAGGATTAGATCTAATTACCATTATGAATTCTTTGTTTTCGTTATGTTGGTTTCTGAGTTTGCTAGTTTTTGTTGTTTTGTTCCATCTTATTGCAGACATATGACAGACCCTTCATTCATAAATGGTTAAGATCAGGAAACCGAACATGTCCGAGAACTCAGCAAGTTCTTTCGCACACGAACCTCACTCCCAATCACTTGATTCGTGAAATTATATCTCAGTGGTGTACCAGTAGGGGAATTGAGTTGCAAGATCGTGTCCGTGTCCACTGTCTTGATGATGATGTGATAACTGAGGCTGATAGAGACCGTTTTCTCACACTAATAGAGAATATGTCTATGACAATATCTGAACAGAAAGCAGCTGCTAAGGAGCTTCGTATGTTGACGAAGAGAATGCCCTCATTTCGAGCGCTTTTTGGCGAGTCCCTTGATGCCATCTCTTTGTTGCTTAGTCCACTTTGTGGAGATAAGTCACAAAGTAGTGTTCACGCGGATCTGCAAGAGGATGTGATCACAACCCTCTTGAATCTGTCGATCCATGACAACAACAAGAAGCTTGTAGCTGAAACTCCCAATGTAATACCGCTTCTAAAGGAAGCATTGAGGTCAGGAACCATGGAAACGAGGAGCAATGCAGCTGCAGCCCTATTTACTCTGTCAGCTCTTGATTCGAACAAAGCACTCATTGGAAAATCTGGTGCCTTGAAGCCCCTTATTGACCTTTTAGACGAGGGGCATCCTTTATCTATCAAGGATGCTGCTTCAGCCATATTTAATCTTTGTATACTTCATGAAAATAAAGCAAGAGCTGTGCGAGATGGTGCAGTTCGAGTGCTTCTGAAAAAGATTATGAACCAAATGCATGTTGATGAACTGTTGGCTATTCTTGCCATGCTTTCAAGCCATCAAAAGGCCGTCGAAGAAATCGGAGAGCTTGGAGCTGTCCCTTCCTTATTCAGAATTATCAGGGAAAGTTCTTGTTCTCGTAACAAGGAGAATTGCATTGTGATCATCCATGCTATCTGCTTATATGATCGAACCAAGTGGAAGGATATGAAGGAGGAGGAGAAATGGTATCGAACGATCTCCGAACTCGCTAAGAATGGGACTTCAAGGGCCAAGAGAAAGGCCAGTGGCATACTTGAAAGACTAAACAGGGCAGTTAATATGACCCATACCGCGTAATGAAATTCTCGGCGTTAAAAACTTGTAGATTCTGCCTCTAAACCCGGTACTCTCGTCTTTTCTAAGACTCGGTCATCTGTTTGGGTAATCTTCGATCTTCTTTTTTTGTATATTCTCTTATCCTGTGGAGTCTAATTTCGATTTCTCTTCCAGGTTCATCAGTTAGTCACTGTGAATAAATATGATGTGAGTTCTGTTGATAGCTTTTCTTTTTGTTTCTGTTTTAGTTTACTTGTTCTTTTGACATTGTTCAGTTCATCGCTACTGCACGTCTGCAAATTTAGTTTTTTCTCTTCTTCTCTGTTTCATTGAACTGAACGGATAAGGTTAGAGCTGTTCAAAGGGAAGTAAGCAAATATGACAGGAGAGAATAAAAGGGTAGAGGATTTGATTGTAGCATTGCATATGTTCCGAAGTGGTACCAAAAGGATCTATAAGATTGGACAAGAAGGAGAAGGTGAATGATGTAAAAATCTAACCTCACCGCTAGCCGTTATTGGTTTTCTTATGAATTTCCCTTTTGGACTTTTCCTCGGGCTTTAAAAATGCGTCTACTAGAGAAAGGTTTCTACACTCTTGTAAATAATGTTTCGTTCTCTTCCTCAACAGATTTGGAATCTCACAAATGGTAAAACATTTTCTTGTGCTTCATTTTGATTGATATCTGTGATATCTGAGTAATGTGGTCCCTTTGAAGATGGAGGGAATAGGAATATTGGATGCCTAACACTTTTTTGTGAATATAGTTCTTTCTTTTAACTTCCTTTTGTCCCATAATGGAGCGACCCTCCTTTTATCTTAGACTTTCCCCAACATCTATTGGATTGCTTTAGGAATTCCTTGTCATTTCTTTATCTCCTCCACCTTCCCATTTTATCTCCTCCGCCTTCCCATTTTCGTTGGAAGAAAAATGTCGGTACAAGTATAGCTGAACTAGTTCGAGGTACGGAATCAATCTCCTCCCACTTATTAGTAAGATATAAATGTACTTTTAGTTGCGGTACAGGTCTGTTTGGAATGACTTTTTAAACACCTCGAAAGTTGTTTTATAAGTGAAGAATAAAAGGGTTCGGCTGTAGTTAGAGATACCGAATCAATCTCCTTCCACTTATTAGTAAGGTCTAAATATATTTTTAATTACTGTACATGTCTATTTGGAATGATTTTTTAAGCACTTCGAAAGTTATTTATAAGTGAAGATAAAAAGGGTTCCAGGGAAGCGGAATCGTTGTTTTTCCATTTTTTTATATGATTTTGTTTTGGTTTCTTTTCCTTTTATGTGGCTTTTGGCTTCATTATTTGGTGCAATTGAGGCCAAAATGATACTAGTTATGACTTGCCTAAAGGATAGTTCTGTGAAATACTTTTTGCTATTAAGATTTATAGTATTCAGTTGTAGCTCTCTCTCTCTCTCTTTGGAATAGTTGTTTTCTTTAAAATACTAACAGAAATAGTAACATCAAATCAAGGCTGGCTGCTTTCGAGTGCCCCATCTTTCTGTATTTAAGGGAGGGAAAAGTCCCCTCATGTCCCTGCTAGCTGGATATTTGGAATCTCTTACAGAGTATACTTTTATGTAGCCTTCATTTAAACATTTATAAGGTTGAAGATGAGGTCCTACGTTAGTTAAGGAGAAGAACGAAACATTTTTTATAAGGGTGTGAAAATCTGTTACTAGCTGATACGGTTTAAAACCTTGAGGGGAAGCTCAAAAGGGAAAACCCAAAGAAAACAATATCTAACAAATGTTATCAGAGCCAGACATCGAGCGACGTGCCAACGAGGAGGCTTAGCCTCGAAAGGGGTGGACATGAGGCAATGTGTCAGTAAAGACGCTGGGTCCCGAATGGGGTGGACATGAGGCGGTGTGCCAGTAAGGATACTGGGTCATGAAGGGGGTTGGATTGTGAGATTCTAAATTGGTTGGGAAGGAGAATGAACATTTTTTTTAAGGGTATGGAAACCTCTCCCTAACAGACACATTTTAAAAACCCTTAAGGGAAGCTTGAAAGGGGAGCCCAAATAAGACAATCTAGCGGTAGGTTTGGTTCATTACAAATAAAATAAAATAATTGAACACGCATGATTTTTTTAGTTAAATAAGTGTGAATGGGGAGATCAAAGATAAAGTCCCAGTTAACATTGAACTATACTCGAATAGATATACGATCATCGATGATTCTTGTATAATAGGTATGCCAATTAGTTAGAGAGTGATGAAGACTTGCTACTCTTTTTTGGCCATAAATTTTGAACAGTTCATCCGAATACCAATTTATTACTTCTTTTCCTTCTTGGAACATTGTTTAGGTTAAATCCAAGCATTGTTGTCACTTTCATTCTTAAGCCTAACCTCTACTAAATCCAATGGGTCCTTGTTAGGTGTTAAATTTTCTGGATATAAATCAACATTTTGGAGAGAGAAATCCAAAGAAGAGAAGGGTCTACCATGTGGCACATAATAACAAGGTATGGGGTTTGGCTGCATCCAAAGAACATAGCATTATGTTGATATTAATCCATCTCATTACACAACAATGGTGACATCCCCTTCTCTCTCTCTCTCTCTCTCTTTCTCTCTCCTAAACAAGAAAACAATCCAACTTTTTCTTTGGTTCCGGTAGGAGGGTCGGTTATTTGGAATGACTTTTCAAGTGTTTAAAAATATTTTAAACTTTCGTTTTTTAGAAAGATGGTCAAGTTAAAATCATCAGTTTCAAAATCGTCTTTCTAAAAGATGACTTAAAATTTCAAAATGGGTTATGGTTATAATATTGATTTGGAAAGGAAACGACTGTAACTTAATCATTATCGTACAATTGTTTGTCTAATAAATGTGGTTGGTGCTAGAAGATGCAACTTCCTAGTTGCTTTTCTTGTTTACAGTAATGTTCCTTTCAATCAAAAAATTTATAAGTTGTTTGTTCATATGGAAATTTTAAAACTAATGAAAAATCATGTGATGTGCAGTCCAATAATTTTGGGAGAATTGGACAATAGCAATCAATTGTTTGTCCATGAGACTATGACATGAGTCGAGAGAGATTTTCAACCCATAATGCTCGACCCTCATGCATTTGGAATCAAAATATCTCCTTCCAAATCACTTTGGTGAAATCGGTAGAAAATAGACCAAATTAATGATTATGAACATATCTCAAGCGATTGAATATCGGTATCGTTCCATGTATGTTGTAAACATGCATTACCTCTTTCTTCTATAAGATACTACAATCAAGAATAAATGAGATCGATACCAATTTTGACCAAATGTGCCTAATAATCAAAGAACTGTAATAGTTCTTTTGAGGTCGAGATTTAAATTTTTGTTCTTTGTTAGTTGCGCTCGAGCATAAAAGAAACATCAAGTAGAAAGCATGCTAAACTAACCTTTGAGTGGTATAGCTTAATCATTACCCTTGTGCTCGATTAATAACACTCTTGAAGAACCAAAGAAGGATGAACATAAATCTATCGACATTCCTACTATGTAAGTTATGATTTCCATCTGGAAAACGTCAATTTGAATGTGAAAGGTGCACCCAACGAGATTAGTAAAGACATATATCATCGATTATGAGGTTTAAGTAATAACTGTACAGGAAACTAACCCGCCATGGTAACAAATTGCACAACAGAAAATCAAAAGACAGGACCTCATGTATGCTTAATTTGAATTGTAAGCCCATCCATGTTTATCTAGAAATGCTTGTACAGCTTCCTTTATGGCTAAGTTCGGTACTAGCTGAGACTCGTCGAGTAGCTCCCGCGTTATGGGATCGAAGTTACCAACCTAAATAAGGAAACCAGTAGTTAGAATTGTAGCTACAGGACATGAACGAGTAGGATAGCAACGTGGAAAATGCCGACCTTTCGAAAATGGTCGAGGATCACTGCTCTCTCATATGTAACCCCGCTCGGAGTAATAACGGGATCACGAAGAATATCGAGCGTAATTTTACAACAAAGATGATCGGGGACCTGAAAACACATCAAATTAGTACCTTCACAGGATTTAAATGGCTAATGTTATGTCTAAATGCTTACCTCAGATGGCGCATCAGCCACGGCATAGTTTTCAAACACACTTCTTAGAGAGTTTAATTGTTCCCGATGAGCGCTTTCGGCTTGATCTACGAACCCTTCTGGTTCAGACTGGTCAAGGAAGTATTTTTGTTCAAGGGCAGCCTCACAAGCCTCTCTGAGAAATTGTAACATAGATCAAAATCAGAGAAACCCGTTTTTCTTTCTTTTTTAATATCTAATCTATAATGGTTCAAGCCCACCGTTAGCAGATATTGTCCACTTTTGCCTGTTATGTATCACCGTCAGCCTCACAGTTTTAAAAACGCGTCTGCTAGAGAGAGGTTTCCACATGTTTCGTTCTCCTCTCCAACCGAGGTGAGATTTCACAATCCACCCCCCCTTGGAGGCCCAATGTCCTTGCTAGCACATCGCCCGGTGTGTGGCTCTGATACCATTGTAACAGCCCAAGCCCACCGCTAGCAGATACTGTTCGCTTTCACCCGTTACATATTGTCATCAGCCTCACGATTTTAGAAGAAATGTTTCACTTCCCTATCCAACCGATGTGGGATTTCACAATCCACCCCCCTCCCCCCAGCGTCCTCGTTGGCACACCGTCTGGTGTCTGCCTCTGATATCATTTGTAACAACCCAAGTCCACCCCTAATAGATATTGTCCGCTTTCGCCCGTTACGTATAGCCGTCAGCCTTACGGTTTTAAAACGTGTCTGCTAGGGAGAGGTTTCCAAACCTTTATAAGAAATGTTTCGTTCCCCTCTCCAACCGATGTGGGATTTCACAATCCACCCCCTGGGGCCCAGCGTTCTTGCTGGCACACCGCCCCGTGTCTTGCTTTGATACCATTTGTAACAGCCCAAGTCTACCGCTAGCAGATATTGTCTATTTTCACCCATTACGTATTGTCGTCAGCCTCACAGTTTTAAAACTCATCTCTAGGAGAGGTTTCCACACTTTTATAAGAAATGTTTCGTTCCCTCTCCAACCAAGGTGGGATTTCATATCATCATTATCGACATCTTCAGGGAAAAAACTTATTTGAAGGCTTCCAACTCTGAAAACCAAAAGCTCTAGGAGAAAAATAACTTACTTCAAGGTCTGCAATTCCCATGAACGTTTGGTGGATGCTTGTTCCCACTCCCTGTATTTTGCATTTGCAAGCTCCTGCCATATCTCCTCTACCATATAACTCTTTTGATTTGCACCTCTACCAAGATCCAAAGCCTATAAAACACGAGGTCAAATTAAATTTGTGTTAGCATAATAAACTATATGCTCACTCGATGTATACGAATCAAAAGTCCCCTAAAACGAGAGTATCCGTGGATCATAGGCGAGTTGTGTAGTGTACCATCAGAGATCTTTGTTTAAATGCTACAAAAATTAGAGAGAAGTTAATGAAGAGCTACCTTCTCCAAATGCTTGATTCCTTCAGGATAGTCTTTATTTTGTATTAATGCTAATCCTACCATGTAATGTGCCTGCACATCAAAAATTGCCAACAAATGTAAGAACAAATAAATAAAGGAAAGAAGATATATATATATATATATATATATAATAATAAGAAGCACAAGCACGTTAGTTTGGGCAACATGCAATAGAGACTCTAACTCTCCGATATTCGTCGGACACCGGAAAAATACCAAGAAATTACAGGACCTCTCTTGCCTTTGCACATAAAATTGGCTTTTGGTCTACGACTTCTTGGCACATGAAAAATCTAGCGGAAAAGTCACTAGAGGCATGAGACATTTCAATAATTTCATAAGAACGGTAGAACTCATTGATCATCCCCACAGCAATGGCCTTTATATGTGAGATCCCACATCGGTTGGAGAGGGGAACATAAACATTCCTTATAAGGGTGTAGAAACCTTTCCCTAGTAGACGCGTTTTAAAACCGTAAGGCTGACGGCGATACGTAATGGGCCAAAGCGGACAATATCTGCTAGCAATGGGCTTGGACTGTTACACTATACTTGGTCAAACAACAGATTCACACCTACCATGACACTCGTCGACAAATTTTTAGCTATTGAAGGCCTCCGGGGAAAATTTAGTATTGCTCATGTCTAAGACTAAATAGACCTACATCGAATCATTATCCCATTGTGTTTTCCATAGATCGCCTCAAATGGTGCTCCTCGCCCTTCCATTTTGAGAATATATGGTTAGATCACATTAATTTTCTGCCCACGATAGAATACTGGTGGAAGAACACTCCCCTCCGTGGATGGTTAGACACAAATTCATTATTAACAAACTCAAAAGGCTAAAATAAGTCTTCAAAAAATGGAACGAGGTTTTCGGTTGTATTTCCACAAAAACAAACCAACTACTTACAAAAATTACTATTTTTGATCGAATGGAAGAAACCGACCCTATCACACTAGTTCAACACACATAAGAAGCTCATGAAAGTCGAATTCATATCATTGGTAGCAAATAAAGTGCAATCTCAGAGACATAAGTGTAAAAAACTCCAGATTTTTCCATCGTATCATGACCTCAAAAAAACAAAAGAGTACCATCATAGAAAGTCTATCGAAGCAAGGCAGAAGTTTCATCAATGAAGATGAAATGGTCTCAAAATTCATGTCCTCAACACACATATGTAAAAAGGATGACACCCTCACCAAATTTCTCGATAATCTTGATTGGAGCCCAACTGATCATCGCCAAGCAACCTCCCTTGAGTTTGCATTCATTGAAGAAGAGGTATGGAAGGCGATAAAGATCTTGGGCTCTGACAAAACTCCTGGATCAAGTGGTTTTACCTCCTAATTCTTTAAAAAAATGTCGGAACTTTTTGAGAACCGATATCATGAGAGTGTTCCAAAAAAAAATTCTAAATGAAATCATCAATGGAAACTTAAATGAAAATATATATATGTTTGATCTCAAAGAAGATAAGTCTTACGACAAGACTATACAAAATTATAGAAGGGGTTTTATTAGAACGCCTCATAAGGATTCTCCTTTTCACTGTCACTAGGCAACAAACAACATTTGTACAGGGATGTTAAATCCTTGATGCATCCTTCATGCAAATGAGCTTACAGACAAATGGAAAAAGAGGAAACAAAAAGGTGTAGTCATCAAACTTGACCTAGAAAAAGCCTTCGACAAGGTTATTTGGGTCTTGCTCGACAACATTCTTAAAACAAAAGACTTTTGCTCAATGAGCAACAAACTTCTCGATCGTCATTAATGGATGACCGAGAAAGAAGATCTATGCTACACAAGGTCTTCGACGAGGAGATCCACTATCCTCTTTTCTTTTCATTATAGTACTACACAAGGGCTTCCATGTTGGTAATGAAGACTTAAGTATCAACAACCTATAGTTTGCATATGATACAATTTTCTCTGAAATGCCAAATGTCTCATCTACAAAAAGAACATGTCTGGAACAGTGAAAACCTTCGAAAGATTCTCGAAACAAAACATCAACCTCTAGAAAATAAAGATCATTGGTCAATGTTAGCACAAAGGATATCGACGACTTTGCCAAAAGATATGGCGGTAAAAAAGGTGAAAGGCCAAATATGTACATGAGATTGTCCCTAAATGAAAACCTCAAATCCTTCTCCTTCTAGAGGACCATTATTGAAAAAAATAGAAAGGTCATCGACATGATCATCATGCTACTTCTAAAGGCGGAAGGCTCTCCCTATATAAACCACATTGTCGAACATTCCTACTAACTACATGTCTCTACTCGAAATGCCTCACAAAATGGCTCTGGAAATAAAAAGGTTATTCAAAAACTATCAGGAAAAATGACTCACGTCTTGTTCAATGAAATATCATAAACCTCCCACTAGACAAGGGAGGTCTTGGCCTATATTCAATGAAGAAAAAGAAGAGAGCCCCTCTTATAAAGGCTAAATATGCTCCTACATCAGGTACAAATGAGTCCCCCACATTCTACATAGGGGACGTGGAAGCATCTAAAAGAGTACCAAAACCTCATCATCAACCGCATTCGCCATAGAGTGGGTGGTGGAGGAAACACATCTTTCTAGACTAACCCTTGGATTGACAACACCACGTTAGCTTTGCAATATTCTCTTTTGTACAGACTCTCTCATTGCAAGACGGTCACAACCAAAGAGACATGGAAAGATGTCAACAAATACTAGGACCTAAAGCTCGGTAAGAACCTAAACGAAGCTATAGAATAGGTCGAATTAAGCCTTGAGCTTACCCCAACTGTGTTGTCCCAAGAAGCAAACTTATAGAAATAGCTTTCTAGTATGGACAAGGTCAGTAAGAAGTCATAAACCTCTCTCATTGTAAATTGGAAAGATCTTTTGTAAGTATCACGGGAAGCGTCTTCATCAACACTTCCATATCGAACTCTAAGAATCAAAACCAAAATTTCAAGATTTATAGAATAGTACCTTGACAGAATTGTTGTCGAGCTGAATAGCTCTCCGACAGTCCTCCTCCACCTTCTTCCAATCACTATACACCATTAAAAACAACGCATCATAACAATAAATTCTCATTCTCTCCGTAATAAGGAAGAAAATGGGGCAAGGATAGGTGCCCGTACATACTTCCGCTTGCGATGACACAAAGCACGGTTCGTCAAATACACAGGAACATTCGGACATAGCGTAATCGCCTTCAAATCAAAAACAACAAGAATATCCCAAATAATTCGATTTTGATACCCAAATAGCGACCAGAAAGAACAATTCGAGAGACAGGAAGAAACCTCGGTATAGGCTTCAATGGCGGCTCCAATCCGGCCCTTCTGGAAATAGTGATTTCCATCTTTTCTGAGAATCTCGGCCTGTCTTGCAGCGCCAGACAAGAACACGCCCGGCCCCATCGCCAATCGACGAAATCAAAGCGACGACGCTGAATATAACTTTTAGGGTTTTTATTTTGGTTCTCGAAATCAAGAACAGATAGATTATTGCAGAAATGGGATTACAGAGATTGATTTTGGGAAGAAGAACAATGAAAAGGAAAAGAGACGGTTTCTTGAGAAGGGAGGGTTCGGCTTCACGACGTTTCCAGCCAAAAAGATGAAATTGACGCCAAATTTGCCATTTATTTTCTATTTAATTTTCATTTAATTTTGGATTTTCTTGTCTACAATACATTTGGTTGACTTTTTTATTGTGCTCGTTTGACTAATCGAATCAAGGCATTGAAAACTGTAAACTTCAAACAACTCTCTTTTCGAGGATTTGACTCGGTCAATTAGAGTGGATATGTAACAGCCAAGTCCACTATCCTCTCTAGGTTTTTAGAACGTTTCTGTTCGGGAAGGTGTTTCGGGACCAACTTCCTCACTGGCACTCATTCTTTTCTCTAATCGATGTGGGACCCCACCAAATCCACCTCATTCGGGGCCCAACGTCCTTGCTGACACATCGCCTCATGTCCACCCCACTTTGGGGCTCAGCTTCCTCGCTGACACATCATCTTATGTCCACCCCACTTCAGGGCTCAGCCTCCTCGCCGACACATCGTCGCCTCATGTCCACCCCACTTCGGGAATCAGCCTCCTCGTTGACACATCGCCTTATACCCACCCCACTTTGGCTCAGCCTCCTCGCTAACATATTGCCTAATGTCTGACTCTGATACCATTTGTGACAGCTTAAGCCCACTGCTAGCAGATATTGTCTTCTCTTGGCTTTCTCTTTGTGAGCATTCCCTCAAAGTTGTTAAAACGTGTCTGCTAGTGAGAAATTTCTAAACTCTTCTAAAAGGTGTTTTGTTCTCCTCCTCAACCGATGTGAGATCTCACAAGATACATAAGATATGTTGTGACTATCATATTATGGATGATTGTTAAGTATTTTGGAAAGTCAATTATGAGACTTCGTGCATATTTATGAATGACATGTTATTACGAAAAAAAATAAATTGTGGTAGTTACCTATTTAATTTCATGATCACGAGACACTAATACGTATGAGATATGACTCTAGGATGTCGATTCCCATCTACTTGGGCAAAGTCTTCCAAGACTCGTGTTTATGCACTAGTAGAGAATTGGTACAATTCAATATTGTCCACAATGGTCATAGGAGAATAACATGTGTTTAATAGTAATGTTTCAGGTCTCACGGGTGCACGTGACATTTTTCATGTTCTATGAAGAGGCGTTTTTTCTAAAAAGAATTTGAATTAACGACGAAGCTGTACGAAGTGAGTGATGGGTCATATGCTGATTGAGACATGGAGTCAATGTCGACGTGTTTCCATGAACGTTTCAATTTCTTTATTTTGAAATTGTGTTTTAAATTCTCTAAATTAATTTTACTTTCTCTTATTTTATGTTTGACCATGTTTTGAATGGGAACGTTTCATATATGATATCGATTTTTATGTTTTAAGTTAAATTACTAATTTAACCGGGACGAGTGATTTGATTTTTATAAATCTTTATTCTCAAAAATTAAATTTAGAAAAAAAAAAAAGGTTATAGTCTAGTTGATTAGGATACTTTCTCGGACTCGATTTAACTATCGAGAACCAAATTTTTGTTTTGAACATAAGGGACAAAAAAAAAAATCGTCATAATTTTACTTTAGTTGGTGTTTTTCCCATTTTACCCTTGGTGTTACTTTCCCGCTCATTCCCCCGTGGAAAAATCTAAGATATAATATCTTTTTACATATACAAAAATAAAATAACCTCGATTAGTTATCGGGTTGACTCAATTTTGGCATTGAAATTGGTTACATAGAGACTTTGAGTTACACTATAAAGATGACTTGATAATGAAACATTATTGACACGAGAGATAGAAAAAGGAAATGGTAGGACAGTTTACTTGTGGCGAATGGTAAGGATAAAATGAGACGACAACGAATGAGTGGTTGTTTCAGGTTGAATCTAGTTACGTTCAAATAAATGAAAATTTTATGGGTTGAAATAGATATTTTACGAACTAATTTTTACTTTTACTAAAAAAATAAAAATTTGAATAAACGACTCAAACAACCCGAACCAACCCAACCCACGAACACCCCTATACATTGTACTCGATTGATAGACAGATAAAGCACAAATTCATAAACATAGTTTGAGCAATGTAGTTTAAACCGTAAAAAAAGCCCTAAATTTGTGAGCGTTATCTTAGTTGACAAAGAGGTAATTTCTTGGGGTATTCATATAACCTGTTGACCCGAACAAACTAGACGGTCTAACCCAAGTCGACGATGTGAACTAGGTTAATTTTTTTTAGGTTGAGTTGGATTGAATTTTTGGAAATTCAATCATTTTAGCTCGAGCCTCTAAATTGGTATGTTCGAAGATAATTATGGATAAGAAATAAAATTAATTTAGGAATTATTTTGTAAAAATTTATTTACTTATTTTAAAATTAATAAAATTAATAAAATAAAATTACCCATTTTTATAGAATTAAATTATTTCAAAATTTTAAATTTAGAGATAAATTAATTTTTTAATTAAAAAAATATATTTCAGTTTAGTCTCGAGTTTATTCGATTGGTATATAATTTTAGTCTCTATACTTTTAACAAATTTTAAAATTAATATAGTTGTTTAAGGTGAACCGAACCGATTTTTTTTTTTTTTTTTTTTTTTTTTTGCACACGTAAATGAAGACTTATAGTTCTTT